ACACAGGATCCCTTGGGAGGGCTCTGTGGGGTTGCCACACACTGGCACAGGCCAGGGGGAAAGAAAGGAGCCCTGGGCACGTGCCAGCAGCACTTTTTGAAGTGGCAACACCAAGTGATCCCTGGAAAAGCTGGAGAGCCTCCAAGCTGCAGCCCTGCTGTCCTGCACGCTCTCCCACAGCTCATTTCCACGACACTGCACCAATTTCTTCCCTGTATCCGTTGCAGAATCCCATTTTCCTGTCATTTTTCTGCTGTTGGATCCTGGGATCCAGCAGTAGAAGCAGGAATTCTGGCTCTGCCTGTGTCAGTGTGTGTTTGAACATGGACAAATGGCTCTGTAGGAAACATCCATGTGGGATCCCCACTGGTGAGTCTGCACCTCCAGCACAGAGGTTATTTGGGATGGAGGTATGGAAAAGATAGAAGCAGGCAGTAATTGCCTTTAAGATCAGAGCACAAAGCATTACCTTGGATTTTACAAGGCCAGCGAGCAACAAAAGAGCAGTAATTTATGAGCTCAGCGTAAAAGAAGAGCATAATTGCATTAAAAATTAATGCTAATGAACACTAAAATGGGGAAGGTGGTTATGATGAAAGTTTGGATTCATCTTCCCCGGGTTGAATGATGGCTGGTGCCTTGATTAATGGCTTAATTTCTATCAATTAGCGGGGAGAAATCTCCACTGAGACAAGGGTAAATTGAGCATTGAATTACAGGCCTGGCTTTGTGTGCCCAGGAAGGAGCTCGGTGACAAACACGGCGTGCCACAAATCCAGCAGAATTCCCTGTGCCAGGGCTGTGCCCACCCCTCTGCTGGGAGCGGGGCTCTCGCCCAGGATGCTCTCAAAAATACCCCAAAAAGCCCCAAAATGGGAGTGCAGGGCTGTGAGAAGGGCAGTGGGCAAGGCACACGGGACGTGCAGGGCTCCAGCAGAAATTTCACCTTCTTCAATTCCAAGTTCTTAAATTCATAGATGTTTTCTTAAATTTAAGGTTCTTAAATTCAGAGCTCGCTTGCTGAACTTTCCCCTCCTGCCTTCTGCTGCATTTTATACCCAATGCTCCCAGGTTTTTAAAAGAAAAGTTGTTAGTGTTCAGACTTGGTTTAAAATCCTATAAAAACGAGGTTATTATCATTATAATGTATCAAAATAGCAAACTTAGAGTAGTCTGGCACTCTCTGTACTACTCTCTGAAGTACTCTCTGGAGTAAGTACCACAGTGCTCACAAAATGCTATTTTCAATATATTTTAATGATAACCTTATTTTTGTTAAAACAAAAGTTTTTCTTGTTAATTTGCATTTTTCCAGCTAAATTTGCAAATCCTGTGTGCTCCCTGTAATCAGTAGATTCTGGAGTACTCCCAACTTTCTAGTTTAATAAATTTAATTGTATTTTTCAAGTGCTTGCAGTGAACTTGGGAGCAGAGAGATGAACAGGTAAAAGTTTCTCTGCCCAGTTTCTGGTTTTGGGATGTATTTATTGTTCCTGTGACTGTGGCTGGGAAATCCTTCCCTGGAAATCCCAACAGCTGGGAAGGAGTGAGGAGCAGGGCTCAGGGATTGGGAAGTGGGAATGGGAATTATCCGGGATGAGCTGTGGGAGGGGTGAGGGGGGTGGAAGCTGATCCCAAAATCGGAGATGGATCCCACTGGGAGGGATGGCTGGATCCTGCAGGGATGGGTCAGGGATGGATGGATCCCGCAGGGATGGATGGATCCCGCGGGGATGGTCAGGGATGGATGGATCTCGCAGGGATGGGTCAGGGAGGGATGGATCCCGCGGGGAGGGATGGATCCTGCATGGATGGGTAAGGGAGGGATGGAGCCCGCAGGGATGGATGGATCCCGCAGGGATGGGTCAGGGATGGATGGATCCCGCAGGGATGGATGGATCCTGCACGGATGGGTCAGGGATGGATGGATCCCGCCGGGAGGCTCCGCTCGGAGCATCCCCGGCTCGGCCCCGCGGCTCCAGCGCTTTGCGTGAGGCGGTGCCTCCCTCTAACGGCAGCGGAGCCCGGCCGGGAAACCGCATCAGCTCAGGAGATCCCGGGAAACATCCCAGGAATTATCCCGGGACAGCCCCGCTCCGGCCCTGCAGGAGCAGGAGGGACTTGGCGTGCCGGGAATGCTGCGGTCAGGGCTTGCGACAAGGGGACAGCTCTGGGCTGATTCCCGCTGGGTTCGGCTGTGGGGAGCGCTCACCGCTGGAGGCTGCGGGGAGGGCTCCGGGGGGATCTGCAGGAAAACTCTCCAGGGAGGGAGTCCAGGGGGATCTGCAGGGGGGTTCTCCAATGGGGATCTCCAGGGAATCTCTCCAGGGGGGATCCCCAAGGAGGTTCTCCAGGGAGGATCTCCATGGAAGTTCTCCAGGGAGGATCTCCATGGAAGTTCTCCAGGGAATCTCTCCAGGGAAGGTTTCCAGGCAGCTCCCACTGGCTGGAGTTGCAGCACTCGGGCTGGGAAGGGGGTCAGGGCTCTGGGATACCCCAGGATCAGGGTCGGGATGGCTGCTCCTCTCCTGATCCCAACAGACGGGATTTGAGGCAGGAGAATTCCTGAGAAGCAGAGCCTGGTTCTGGTGAAGTCCAGAGGTGACACACCACAGCGAGTCCCACCTGTCCTGCTGGATTTGCCTCCTTTTCCCAGTGCTTAGAGCAGAATCCAGCATCTCCCACAGCCAGGGAGTTTTTGTGTCATCCACTCCAAATTACCCGGGCAAAACTTCATTTTTCTTTAATTTGTCAGCTTGTGCAGCTTGAGTAAAACTGGGATCAATTAAAAACCATGGGATGTGTGAAAACCCAGTTCTGGTGGAAAGCACACAGCTCTGTAAGGCAGCTGGATAAAAATATCACTTCCAATAACCCCAAATAAAATGGGATCAAAGGGGAAATGTTTTCTGCTGTAGTTGTTTGTTTAGTCTGGGATCTGGGGGTGTTTCCTTCTTTTAATCCTCAACTCAAAAGAGCAAGAAAAAATAGCAGCTTCTCTGTATTTCAAAGCTTTTTTATGTAAAATGTGTTATATTTTTTAATTAAATTAACCCCTTAAATCTAATTAGTAAAATAGGAAGAAACAGATTCTGAGGAATATTTGAGGTTTTTTGTCATTGCTTTGATTCTGGAGTTAGACCTGCTTGAAAAAATCTCTTTAAGTTCATGTTCATGGTCAGGATTATGGATAAGCAATGAATCCATAAAAATTTACACTCAGAGATTATCCAAAAAATATTTTAAACATGTTTTTGTTTAATGGATCTTTCACAAGATATTATTGGTCACTTAATGCTTCTATTTCAGTGATTTTAAAACTCTTAGTGGAATAAATTTTGTCTTTAAGGAAAAAATGGGAATATTTTAGGCAGAGCTCGCAGGGAAGTTTTCCTTTCACCTGCTTTGTAGAATCATAGAATTCTCTGTTTCTTCTACTTTTATCTGATTCTCTGCTGTTTCTAATTATTGTGTGTGTGGTGTTTTGGGGTGGCATTGAGAGAATTCCAGCACATTTAATTCTCCAGTGACATTCCAGCCTAATTCTGCAGGAATTTACAGCTACAAAGCTGGGTGTGTGTATTTATACATGGGAGGAGAGCAGCAGGTGTAAATAGAGAATTGTAAAATACTGAATTATCCCTGAAGGATGGTGATATTCCCAGTTCAACTGGGAAAGCTCCCCCCTGCCAAGGTGACAGGGCTGGAAATTGTTCCTGCTGCTGGAATCACCTTTTTATTAAAAACCAGCCCTAATCCAAGATTTAGTTCCTTTATTTCCACCCTAACAGGCTGCAAAGACTCACGGTGCACTGAGTTAGTATTGATTTTTTTTTTTTTTGTCTGAAGCCTCGGAGCTTTCTGACTCCATTATTTTTGATTTTCCTATGAAATACATATCCTTGTCCCTGACAGCTGACAAACAACAGCTGGAAGTCGTTTTATCTCCCCATAATGTGTTTGTCAAAACTCCCCTGCACTAATGGGCTCTGCTTCCTCCAGTCCATTTTCCCCCGTTAATGTCACTGATGTCATTGGCAGCTTTTAGTGATTTTTGCCCCTTCCCTAATTTGTCATTCCCATCACTTTGTGCAGGATCTGGGTGGGATCCTGGAGCTGCCTGGGATTTGGTGAAACTGGAGCTGAGCTGTGGATTTGAAATCTCCTTTTCCTGCCTTTCTATGCCTGGCTTTAATCAGGATCCTTTATTTACCCTCAGACCAGGTGTATCCAAAACCTCAGTGAATTCTGATTCCCTCTCCTTTGATATATCCCAAAAATCCGTGGGAATCTGTTCTAAAGGAGAAGGTTTCATCACCAAGGCAGCAGGACTTGCAAACACAAGTTTAAATGTAGGAAATTCTTTTTTTCCTTCCAAATCCCCCAAAAAATCAGGTTAAAGTTGTATTTGTGGATTTTGCTGTAGTGCAGCTCCTGTCAACTTAGAATTATGGGATGGTTTGGGTTGGAAGGACCTTAAATCCCATCCAGGGACAGGGCAGGGACACCTCCCACTGTCCCAGGTGCTCCAGCCCCAGTGTCCAGCCTGGCCTTGGGCACTGCCAGGGATCCAGGGGCAGCCACAGCTGCTCTGGGAATCCCAGCCCAGCCAGGAATTCCCAATTCCCAATCTCCCATCCATGCCTGCCCTCTGGCAGTGGGAGCCATTCCCTGTGTCCTGTCCCTCCATCCTTGTCCCCAGTCCCTCTCCAGCTCTCCTGGAGCCCCTGGCAGGGCTCTGAGCTCTCCCTGGATCCTTCTCCTCCCCAGTTATCCCACAAATCCTTAGGTCAGCATCTGGAATGTTTCCACCCTCACTGCTGTTGTTTTTAGTCAGAGCTTTCCCTTGCAACAGAAGATTTTAGGCTGCATTGCACGAGCAGCTTCTCCTGGTGTGTCCCAAAATCTCCTTCAGGCATGGCTGGGACAGGGCCTGGCTCCCAGCATTTCACCAATCCCATAAATGCCATAAATCCCACAAATCCCACCTTCCTGTGCAGACCAAGCCACCCTCCTGGACCAAGTGAAGCGAGTGAAGGAGATCGAAGCCATCGAGAGCGACGCCTTCGTCCCACAGACCTTCAGGTCCAGCAAAGAAGTCAAAAAGGTACACTTCCCTTCCACAAGGGGCATTTTCCTTCCAAAAAGGATATTTTCCTTCCAAAAGGGGCATTTTCAGTCCCTTTCTTGCTGCATTATCCTCTCAGAGCCAGGAGGAAGCTGTGCCATTAAGGATTTTCCATCGATGGAAGAGCATCAATGTTGAGAACCTTAAATCCACCTGAAATCCCACCAAGGACTCCCTGATGGTCTCAGGGTGGGTTCAGGGAATTTAAATGTGGCAGAATTTAAAAATTCACCTGGTTTGCTTCTCCTTTTGTTAGGAGAAGCAGAAGAATTGAAATCCCAAAGTAATCACATTTAGTTTGTAATTAAAGTGGGGATGATTTTAATGCTGCTTAACTAAAGCCAGACCTGAGGTCTGTATTTATTCCCTGAAAAGAAGCAGCCTGGTTTTCAATCAGCTTTCCAGAAACCCAACAGGAGACATCCAGATCCCAGAACTGACCTGAATTTTGGCCAGCAGGTGTTGCAGGGAGCTGGTGTGGGATGTGTTCATTTTCCCACCTGGCACTGAGTGTTTGGAATTATCCCTGCTTGTTTTCCCATGAATGTGCAATTTGCCTTTCTAGACATCTCCAGGAATCTGGTGCAGCTTCTTCAGGAAGTGATCCAAAATCCCAATGGTGCAGTTTTTCCAACTCTCTCCCTATGCTTTGTTTTTATCACTTCATGTCCTTTGTCCTTGTCCAGTGTGTCCCACTGAAGATGGATCCATGAGGATCCTTTCAGGGAAGACAGCCAAGAGCTGGGTTAAAATACTGCCACAGTTGGAAATACTGGGACAAAACACTCAAATTTTGTATGTTTGTTTCTTTTTCAGTCAGCAGAACCTCCTGAGCTCCAACAGGAGCCTGTGAATGTGGGAGCAGGAGCCCCTGAGGCAGCTGCTGCTGAGAAAGAGCCTCCAGCTGCCAACATTCCCACTGCCATCAAGTACCAGGATGACAATTCCTTAGCACATCCAAATGTGAGTGTTTATCCCATCTTTTTAGCCAGAATTTATCCCACCTTTAGCTTTAGAGCAGCCCCTGGCATGAGAGCAGGGTTGTGTGACCCCACAGCTCCTCACAAAATCCCTGCTCTGGGATAAAGAGATCCCACTCCTCCCACCGCCCAGCAGAGCAATCCCACAAGGAGGTTCAGCAGGAATTTTAGAGCTATAAATGAATTTTATAATAAAATATAATTAATGTAACACTGGGGAAGTTCAGATAAATAAAAATTCAGGACAAATTGGTTTCTGTAGTTGGAAACCTGGTGGAAAACTCAGAACTTGCCCGTTTTGCCAACTTGCAACGTTTTAAACACGGGACAGACTTCAGATAATTTTAAATCATTGTGGCTAAACTTGAGCAAATCCCTTTGGAAGAGCTTTAGAGGGAAATAAAAGATTTTTTTAAGAATTAGCAAGTTAAAAATGCCTTGCAGTGAAGAAAACAGGGTGGGTTCTGTGGAATGGACAGAGAACAGATATCAGGACATGAATTGCACTGGAGCCTTGCCTCCCCAGTGATTATGATCTTTAAGACCCCTCCCAATTTAGGATTCCCTGAACAGTCTCTGCTTTTATTGATGTTTTTGGCTCACCTTTGTCTTTGCCCCCCCTGAGCTTCTCCTGTGGGCAGCGGGGCAGTGGTGGGTGCTGCAGGAGATGGGCACAGCCCCGGGCTCGCTGACTGTGCCGACTTTTCCCCCGTGGCAGCTGTTCCTGGAGAAGGCAGAGGCTGAGGAGAAGTGGTTCCAGAGGCTGGTTGCTCTGCGCCAGGAGCGGCTGATGGGGAGCCCCGTGGCCTGACAGCTCCCAGGGCATTCCCAGCCCCTTCCCACGTGCAGCTCCCGCTCTCAGCTGTTCTTCTTGTCTCTTAGAGGAGACTTCAGTGAGCAGGGCAGGCAGGGAGGGTTTCACCTGGATAGCCAGGGATCTTCTGTCCTGCTCCACCTGGGGAATCAAGAATGTCCTGCCCTGCTCTACCTGGATGACTGGGAAAGTTCTCTCCTGGTTCCCCTGAATGACCAGGAATGTCCTGCTCTGCTCCACCTGGATAACCAGGAATGTTCTCTCCTGGTTCCCCTCAATAACCAGGAATGTCCTGCTCTGCTCCACCTGGATAACCAGGAATGTTCTCTCCTGGTTCCCCTCAATAACCAGGAATGTCCTGCTCTGCTCCACCTGGATAACCAGGTATGTTCTCTCCTGGTTCCCTTGAATAACCAGGAGTGTTCTCTCCTGGTTCCCTTGAATAACCAGGAGTGTTCTGCTTTGGTTCCCCTGGATAACCAGGGATGTTCTCTCCTGGTTCCCTTGAATAACCAGGAGTGTTCTGCTTTGGTTCCCCTGGATAACCAGGGATGTTCTCTCCTGGTTCCCCTGGCTACCCAGGGATGTCCTGCCCTGGTTCTCTGCAGGCTCCGTGCTGGAGATGGGCAGGGCAGCACAGCCAGGGGCATTTCCTTTTTTTTGGAGGGAATTCCTCAGGTGAAGAGCACCTGGCAGCCCATGAAATATCATTTTATCTCTCCCAATCCAGAAAATTTTATAGAGCCAGGTAGGAGTTGGGAGGTAAGTGGGAACTGAGGCTGGGGGCTGGGACAGTGAGGAGCCATCCCAGGCCCCTCCATGTCCTGCAGCTGGAGAGGATCCAGGATCCATCCCTGTTATCCCTTCCCCCTGTGCAATCCTGAACATCTGGGCAGGCTCCTGCCTGAGGGAATCCTCTCCCTGGATGTGTTCATCCCTCTGCTCCCACTGCCTCACTCTGGTGGAAAATGCTCCACGTTTCCTTGAGCATCTGCCACTACTGCACCTCCAAATGGGGAATTGTATCAACCTCCTCATTTCTGGAATTGCCAGATGATGGAATTGCCACACACCTGCTTCTGGGCAGGGGCTGCTCCCAGCCCATGGAGTTCCCTTGGGCCAGGTGGGACTTTTAAATAATCAAAGTTTGGTCTGAACATCTGAATTTAGCCTGGATAAACTTCCACAAAAATCTGCCCATCATCCATCTAAGTGCAGGAAATCAACCAAATCAAATAAATAAAATACAAAAGTGTTTCTTCAGCAAAGCTGGGGGGAAATTGTCACATCAGGAGAGGAGAAAACTGAGCCCCACCTCTGGATGAGCTCCCTGGAGCTGCCCTGCATCAGCATTCCCTTGGGAAGCTGCTTTTTGGGATTGTTCCTCCTGCTTCTCAGATCTGTGGTGATAAAAAATGGAGGCTGACTCTGGAAATGGACTTTGGTTGTTTTATTTTTTATTTTAGATCCTGGATGTAAAAGGAAAATGTATTGAATTTGCATTCTGACACATTTTTACTTCCTTTATGAAGGGTTAGTTTGACTTTATCCTGCATCAAAATATTCCAAGACCTCGTCTGCAGGAAAAAGTGGGAAAAAATTTGTTTCCCTTGTTTCATTTCAGCATTTTTAAATGGTAATATTTGTCATTGCTGCATTTTATCATCACCTTTTATGTTTGTTTCATAGAAAATAAAAACTGTTTGATGTCCATGGAAGGTCCAGGTGTAAATTCCTCTTTTCATGCATTGTGTTGGATAAGTTTGGTGCTTTTGTTGGATGTAAAATGATTCTTTTTATTTGCAGCCCTGTAGAATATTAGAAAACTTTACAATAGGCTGTAAATAGACTTAAAGTAGAGTTAATGTATTTATTTATTGTTTATTAATCAACATCTAAATTTGCTGGAGGAGAGTTGGGAGCAAGAGCTGGAAAGAAAATGGAAATAACATTTAGATAATTTAAATAAATTAAAATCAATAAATCAAATTAATAAATTAATTTAAATAAATTAATACATTTTTAAATGTTTAGATAACATTTAGGTAATTTAAATAACATTTGGAAAATTTAACTGAATGGAAAATATACTGAAATATTCCGAACACCACTGGAAACATGGAGCAGATCAGGATAAAGTTGATTTTTATCGTTCCAGTAGCAGCTCAGTGATCAGACTACCCATGAATTCCTCAGGATCGTGCACTTTTCATGGAACAATAACTTGGGCATTGCCTCAGGGGGTTCATTGAAGGGGATTTTCCTGGGTTCTTGCCCTGGCACATCCCTGCTGTGGAGCCTGGGAGGAGTTGGTGCCCGGATGGCAGCGGTGCCAGGGCTCGTGCCAGCCTGCAGGGACATTTCCAGAGCCCCCAGCACTCCAGGTGGGTTTGACTCCTCCCTGCCCCTGGGAGGGACACACAGCTCCTGTGGGGCTGGCTGGGGAGGGCTGGGCTGCAGCAGATCCCTCTGGGACAAACTTGGCTTTTCCTTGAGCAGCACCCTGGGATCAGCTCTTCACTTCCCTGCCTCGGAGCAGCAGCAGTGGGATGGGGAGGCAGGAATCAGCTCTGCTGGGGGACCCCGGAGGGGTTGGAGGTTACTGCTGGAATTGTTTTACCCTGGGGCACCTTAGGAAGGGAAATGTCCAAGGAAATGTCCAAGGAAATGTGCTCTCCACCATTCCACGGCTGGGGCCTTTTTCCCTGAGGAAGAGGGAGGATGTGTGACCTCATCCAAGTTAATTCATGCCAGCACCTGGCCATAAACCCCTTAAATGTGGGCAAATCATCTCCAGCAGCCTGGATAAATGCACTGCTGGCTCCAACTTCTCCTGATCCAATAATGCCACTGTTCTTCATCTCCTAAATCTTAACCTGTGACAAAAATCCTGGTTTTAGTTCCTGTCGTTTTCAGTTCTCACATTTAGGACTCTTTCCTACAGAAAGTTCATTTTTTTCTGGTATTTCCAAGTTTGCTCCTGGTGAAAGGGAGCAGATTCCTGCACAGGAAGGGACACAAGCAGCTGTGTCAGTTTTCCCTGTAGAACTCAGGATTTTGGCTGTGTTTGGCAGCCTGCAGGGACATGGCTTTGTCACTCAGGACTCTCTGATGCACAAAGTTCCTGCCAATGCCAAACTGCCTGAGCTGTGGAAGATAAAGCTGGAATTGGAGCTTCTCTGGCTCCTGGGAGTCAGCAGAGCCCTTTCCCCCAGGAATTCCAGCAGCAAACTCATTCCCAGAGCCTGCAGAGCAGCCACCCTCCATTCCCATCAGGAATGGTCCCTGCTCCTCATCCCTCAGCAGCTCCAGCACTGTAGGTGAGGGATAACTGCCTGGAAAGGACCTGGGGTGGTTTTTAGGTGGTTGTCATTGTTGTTGGTACAATAATTTAGGAGGATTTTGCTGCTCAAATGATGCTGTCAAAGAAACCCTCCTGGCCAGGAGATCAAATGTTGCTCCTCCTGCTCCAGTCACTCCAGGAGGGCAGCACTGGGTGATCCCAAGGCCTCTGTCCCAGCTGTAACCCAAAACCAGCCCCCTGCATGATGACAGTTTTCCATTTGTCAGGTTACAAGGAGGGAGTTATTTTTAGTGGGGATCCTTGAACTCCAGAAACCTTTGTGAGGAGGGACCAGCTGGAACCTGGGGCTGAACCCGGGGCTGGGGAGACTCCTCAGCTTGAACGTGATACAAAACCCAAAACCACAACTAGCCAGGACTGAAAACACTCCCCTCGGGGAGTTTGGACTCAGGGCTGTTTGTTTCTCCCAGTTTGGACACAGAGCAGCACTGGCTGGCTGGGAATGGCTCAGTGACCCTGAGTCCCTCTGGAATTGCCACACAGGGGACTCCAGGTGGCTCCTCTTTCTGGAAGGAAGCAGAGGGGCAGGAGGGTGCTCCAGCAGGCTGAGCTGAGCTCCCAGCCCAGCTCCCACATTCCAGGTGCTCTGCTCCCACAAAAGATCTGCAGCTGCCATGGATGGGAATGAAATGATCTTTGAGTTCCTTCCCACACAAAGCTTTCCATGATTCTCTGATTCTGTCCCAGTGAATTTAACAGTATTTTGTTATAAATTCTTGTTGTCTTATTTCAGGCCTTGTACAAATTCCTGAACTGGGCAACTGGGAGCTGAAGAGATATTTAAATCAAATATTAATTTCCATGTTCTTACACATCTCCCTCCAGTCCTTGCTTTTATCTGACATTTACCAACAATTAATCACCAGCTACCTTGGCAGAAGCTGATGTCACCTCTGGACTGAAATCAGCTGTGGAACAGCACAGTCCAAAGGCCTCTCCCACTAAAAATACATTTAAACCTCTGGAAAGTGCAGAGCAGCTCTGAGCCCACCTGGAAAGGAGCAGCTGGAGGAGTGAGGACACCTCATTTCTGCCAAGCCGTGGGAAATGGAAATAGGAGCTGCTGATCCCTCCAGAGCTGCTGGGGATGGAGCCCTGCTGGTTGGAGCCCTCTCGGGTTTCCTTCAACCTTGCTCCTGACATTGCTGGGCAGAGAATGGAGCAGGGCCCCCAGGTGCTCCCATTCCTCCCAAAATAGTTGGAAACCCCCTATTTTTACTAATTCTGCTGTTTCTCGCTAGCTGGGTAAGCAGAGCTAAATGTTTGGAAGTTCGGAGCTGCAAGAAATGTAATTAAGAAGTAATTGTGTAATAAAAGCTGGGTGTTTTCTCAAGTGAGCAGTGACACCTGTCCTGGCTGATTGGAACTGACAATTTATCCTTGCCCTCCCTGTGAAATCAGCCAGAACCTGAGCTGGGAACTCGATGTTGTGATAACTTATACACTCAGTTTGTCCAGGACTAATTGGAACATGGGATTAATGGGATCTGCTGAGGTAGCAGCAGGAATTTTTAGCTGCAGCCACAAGCAGCCTGAGGCAGGAGAGCCCTTTGGAACAAACACAGCATGGCCTGAACTGGGCACGGGCTTTAAACAGGGGCTGAAAGTGCCTTCACCTGCTGCCAGTCCCAGGAGATCCTAAAGAGGACAGCAGGGAGCCATCCCAGCTCACCAGCCTGCAATCCCTGCAGGTATTGCTGCTTTGTGCTCAGCCTGGTGTCTTACCTTGCTGTTGGTACCAGCTCCCAGCTTCCTCAAAGAACAGAATCACAGAATTTCTAGGTTGGAAGGGACCTTTAAGATCATCGAGTCCAACCCATGTTCTAACACCTCAGCTAGGTCATGGCACCAAGTGCCACATCCAGTCTTTTTTTGAACACATCCAGGGATGGTGACTCCACACCCAAAATGCCATTTCCCCACTTTGCTGAGACTTTATGGGCACTGAAGTCTCGGGACATCCGTGGCACAGCCCGAGGGTCCCTCCTGCTCCCAGAGGGATCTGCTGCCCTGCCAGCAGTGTTTATTAGCTCAGCCTTAATTGACAATCTCTAATTTGTGTGGGTGGAGGGAGCTGGGCTACAGTGAGCTATAAAAGGAAGGTCATCAGCAGCCTGCACGAGCTGGTGACAGCTCTATTTATAGCCCAGCCCAGGACCCAAAATGTGTTTCTTCCCCTTTTTTGGTGCTGCAAGTTCAGGGTTAGGAGTTCCTGCAGGCAGGAGTTCCTCCTGCAGCCTCTAAGTGACTCCTTTTATCAGCTGCAGACACACAAGGGCAGGTTTTAGGGATATTTCCTAATTATACACAAAGAGAGGACATGGGCAGGTTTTCTGTTGGGTGGGAAATGGAAAAAAATGGAATAATAGTAAAAGAAATTTAGTTTTGGTTTGGTTTTTTTTTTTTTTTTCCTATAGAAAGGAGGAATTGTCTTTCCCTTGCTTGCATCTTATATAAAATAGGGTTCAATTTACCCAGGTAAGGCTGACAGCATAGTCCTGAACAGGTATTTTATATTTCATCAGAACAAAACCACCTCTGGTCAACACTTGGCTCTGATTGCTCCATTTCCCTCGTTAGGGTAATTAATTACCCAACTTTTAAACCTTGTCAGATGCAGCATCTTCAGAGGAGACTCACAGGATTCAGATTGGATTTCAACAGAAAAATCTGCTGATAGTGAGCTAAGGAGCATTCATTCTTTCTTTCCTCTTTTTTCTTCTTTGTGTGTACAAACCAGGTATTTCCTTTGGAATTTGCTGTTTCATTTCCACCTGTATTTCTGTTTTAAAGAAGGGAATCTTGTCATTTAGTTCTAATAATTAATGAATTTCAGTCTGGCCAGCAGAGTTGTGTCCAGCCTCGGGAAGGGCTCTGGCTCCACTTCTCCCAGCCCAGTCTGGCACTTTTCCCATTCAAACACGTGCAGGAATGCAATTTTTACCTCCAAGTGTTAAAGCTGCTTCAAAATAATCCTTTGGATTATTAGAGGAATTAGAGTGGATGATTTCCCAGAAAGGCAGAAATATTCCTGTGCTTTTCAGCAGTTGCACCAAGTGTTTCCCACAGATTTTAGTGTATTTTATATAAAAAGTTGATCACAATCAGAGTCTTTTTGGGCATCACCAGAACTGATTTTTACTCTGGAGGGAACAGAAAACACAAACCCAAATTGCTGGGAAGAAAACCTCTCAGCATGAGGAGTGAAGAGGAACTTGGGGGTTGGAAGGAAATGTTTGGGGCAGGAACCTAAACAGGGATCTTTGGAATGGAGAGAGAACAAGGGAATTACAAATATCAACAAACATCAATATGGCAAAATGACCTTTTGTTCTGGCTGAATGTGC